TGCCTGTAATTCCAGCTACTCGGAAAGCTGAGGCGGAAGGATCGCCGGAGCCCAGCAGGCGAGGCTGCGGTGGTGGCCGGGAGAGGTCACTGCACTCCAGTCTGGGCGACCGAGTGAGACTTCAACTCAAAAAAAAAAACAACAAAAAAAAAGAAACCATAAATAACTACAGATCATTGGGTTCCCTTCTGTGGAGACCTGTCTCTATTGCAGAGGTCATTGAGAAGGTGCCTGAAGATCTGGGGCTTTCCTTTCACACCTCATCCAGGTTTCCACATGGGTTAGAAGCCTTTCGGTCCTACAACTCATTTTCGGTTCCTCTAAATCAACTCTTTACTCTCTCATGCTACAATTTGCTTTTGAGGTGGAAAATGGGAGGTAGGGAAAAGGCAAAGCTAGACTCTCTTCTGAATGACATCAAGCAAGCACATGGAATCACCTGGTTGGTTCCTATCCTTTCAGGCAAGGCAAATACTTGATTTAGAAATGAGCAGGCCGGGCATACTTTGGGAGGCTGAGGTGAGAAGATTGCCAGCTCAGGGGTTCAAGAAACTAGCCTGGTCAATTTGGCGAGACCTCATCTCTACAATAAAATCAAAAGATTAGCTGGGCATGGTGGCGCGTGCATGTAGTTCAGCTACTTGGAAGGCGGAGACGGAAGGATCACCTGAGTCCAGCAGGTCAAGGCTGCGGTGGTTGTGAGCGTGCCACTGCACTCCAGACTGGGCGAGAGTGAGACTCCAACTTAAAAAAAAAAAAAAGAAAGGAAAGAGCAAATGTTCTAGGGAGATTTTTATAGCCACCCTGCTCATCCTTAGGGATTTGGAAACTATTACCCAGGAAGAAATTCCATGGATTGTGAGAGGGTACGTGTTAAAAACAAAAGGCTGCCAAAGGTCACCAGCTTCCATGCAGTAGTATGCATTTGCCTTTACCTCCCCATGGCTTGGGAGCATCCCTCTGGGAGGAATCTGGTCCATAGCACCGCACACAGCCATTATGATGAGAAAAGTTTTTTTGTTTTGTTTTTTTAAATTTAATCCTACCTTTGTAGGTGCATGAGAGAAAAGTTTTATACGGACAACACACACTGAACAAGAACATGATAAACAAGAAGGGACACTCGGGCTTAGCCAGGAAAGCTGACACAAGGAACAAGTGTGGAACTATCCAGGAGCAGTGTCAAACACTAACACCATATTTACAAGTCTAATTTGGAACATGGCCCTTTTTAAGTGCAGGAGGAAGTTGGGAGAGAAGCCATGCATAAAATAAAAATTATATATACACAGACATAAACACCCACATCTTCACACTTCTTTCACCCATTTTCTCCTTACGGAACAAATGAGAGAAAGGAGAAGCCTGGCCTCTTTCCCTAGAGGCCCTATATTTACTACAGAATTGTGAGAGAAGCCCCAGATGGGGGCTTGGATTCAAGAAGGCAGATTCCATTCTCCTTGGCCCCACTCGCCCCTGGCAATTTACCAAGGGAATGCTTGGGACACAGGCATGAATGCTTAGAAGAGGCAAGAAAAAATATGGCTCACTTAACTTATATATTACACACAAGGGGACTCAGTTTCTCTAAGTAATTTCACACTTGGTCCTTCACTAGATCCTTAGCAGACTTCTAACCTGTGGCAACAGAGCTCAGCCAAGCTCTGAGACACAAAGGAAGGAAAGCAGTATTTTGATCCAGCACAGACTGGGTCAGCCACTTCATCCAAGACAGTCACACATGCCAGCCCCGAGTAAGCCCTCAGGGGCTTGCAGCTGTTTTCTTTGTGAAGTGGAAGTTTGGGCTTCTTCTCTCCCTGGATTTCTCCTTGCTGCTGCCTCCAAGCTCTATGCTGTTCCCTCTGGACCTGAGACAGCTGCTCGGCGTGCGTGTGTGTAATTTACTGTTCTGCTGCCACTGGCTCGTCCCCAGCTGCTGGCTCATCCCCAGTCGCTGGCTTCTCAACCTGTGACTCTGGAGGAATCAGATACTGGACCTCCTCTGTGCTGATGGCTACTTTATCCGGCTGAAGCCACCTCTTGAAATGTTCCAAGGTGCTATGAAAGAGCAGAAGAAAAGGGTGATTGTATGAGACTTTGCTGATTAATTACTTATTGATGACCTCAGTTATTCAAATATTGTCTTCCCACCCACCACCAATTTCTTCCCACAATTGTTTTTCACTGCTAACATGAGGAGTACAAGGATACTCCCTCTGACAGCTGTGCATCCTGGCAGCTCCACAGCATAATTTACCCCCTAGTGGGCACTTTGGCTATAAGCAGCACCAGACTCCCTTCAAATGCAAAGCCTTGATGTGAATAGCTAAGAGCTTATGCCTCAGTCCTTTTTCCCACAAAAACTGGAAAGAAATTGTCATGGGGAGGAAACACTCGAATAAATACCAAATTACTACTGAGGCAGAAATCTGAGCATCTTATGTTGCTCACAGCTGAGGCAGTCTAGGGCTCAATTATACTTATAGTACTTACTTGCACTAAGTGTGTGTGTTTTTTTTTGGGGGGGGTATTTTTTCCTCCCATAGCAAGTCCCCAAGATAAAAACATCTGAGCAGCAAATGTCCCCTACAAGGAAATGGCCACTATGCCAGAAGAATCTTTTTGTTTGGATCTGTAGGAAGTGGGAAGATATGAAAGTTAAGTTCATGGTTCCCCTCTCACCTTCCTTAAATGCCCACAGTCCAAAACCCTAAAGCCATTAGACAGTAACAATAAAAAAGAAACGATGAGAAATGATGTAAACCAGCCGGATTCGTGGCTCAGCCTGTAATCCCTCGCTTGGGGAGGCTGAGGTAAGTGGATTGCTTGAGTCCGTGGGTTCGAGACCTGCCTGGGCAACCTGGCGAGACCTCATCTCTACAATAAATAAAAAATCAGCCGGGTGTGGTAGTGCGCGCCTGTAGTTCCAGCTACTCGAAAGACTGAGCGGAAGGATCACCGGAGCCCAGCAGGTCGAGGCTGCGGTGGCCGGGAGCGGCCACTGCACTCCAGTCTGGGCGACAGAGTGAGACTCCAACTCAAAAAAAAAGAAATGATGTAAATCACTCAGCATGGTGGCTCATGCCTGTAATCCCAATACTTTGGAAGGCGGAGGCTAGAAGATTGCCTAAGCCCAGGAGTTCAAGACCAGCCTGGGCAACTTGGTGAGACCTTGTTGCTACGATAAATCAAAAAATTACTCGGGTGTGGTGGCATGAGCTTATAGTTCCAACTTAGAACTTTTAACTTCCAACTTGGAAGGCTGAGGTGGAAGGATCACCTGAGCCCAGCAGGTCGAGGCTGCAGTGGCTGTGAGTGAGCCACTGAATGTCAGCCTGGGCAACAGAGTGAGACTCCAACTCAAAAAGTAAAAATAAAAAAGAAATGATGTAAGCCTCATTTTGTGCTCTTCAACAGCACAATGTCTTAATCCAAGAAGCAATGCCATAACAGCAGATTTTAGACATCTGTCAGTGTATGGGATGGGGGAGATTATGTTTTGGACAGTTTAATTTCTCAGCCCATTACCCTCTTGCCAAAAGCATACCACGAAGAGGGTCACCTGCCTGGCCCTCACATATGTGAAGATCACATTACTCCACTGCAAAATGGCCTGTCTTTATATATTTTATTTTATTTTTTGAGTCAGAGTCTCGCTGTTGCCCAGGCTGGAGTACAGTGGCATGCTCACAGCCATAGCAGCCTCAACCTGCTGGGCTCATGTGATCCTTCCCGAGTAGCTGGGACTACAGGCACGTGCCACCACATCTAGCTAATTTTTTAATTTATTGTAGAGATGAGGTCTCACCAAGTTCCCCAGGTTGGTCTCAAACCCCTGAGCTCAGACAATCCTCTCACCTCTGCTTCCCAAAGTGCCCGGATTACAGGCATGAGCCACAGTGCCCGGCTTTGGCCTGTGTTTAGAAGATAAACTTTCAAGTTTGAAAACAAATGCACAGCTACAGTTTCTTGGTGTTTGTTCTGAAAACAAATGCACAGCTACTGTTTCTTGATGTTTGTTCTGACAGAAAGGTACATTCCCAGAGATGCTGACTTGGGGAAAAAAAATCAAAACAGCAGAAGGCAGTGAGAACAGCTGACTGACTCCAGTGCTCACAGCTCAGGGGACTCAGATGTGACAAGGCCTTTAATCTTCATTTATACCACACTTTTCATAGAATTGTTCAGATTATTTTTGTAGAGAAGGAAAACCACATTATTTTAGGTACCAATAAATATACAGAAACATGTTGTCTACTTTCAGAGAAAGAGGGTTCCTACCTGATAATTATGCAGGCAAAAGTTTTGTCTTTTCTTCTCAGAACTGGAGAGGAAGGAAATATTCGGGGTGGAAGACAATATAAGTAAATACCAAATTTGCAGTGAGTGGGTCAGGAGTCTAAATCTTCAAATCTCCTGTGTTTGGGGTAATTAAAGGCTAAAACAGGTTAGGCCTTTAGAGATGGAAAAGGGCAAAATTTATATTATTTTCTGAATCCTCAAAGGGTAGTTGTTCTGACCATAGATGCCACATTGATTTCTGAAGGATCTGGGGACATGCTGATCCAATATTTGAGATAATGTAAGTGCAAGTACTTTGCAAATTAAAAAGCAAAATGTAACTATGAAGTTTCATTCACATACTATCCATAATTTCAGCAGCATCATCTTCATCTGACATATTGGGACTCTTAAAACCGAAACTAATGATATGTTTGGTTTTTTTTGAGTTGGACTCTCACTCTCTCACCCAGGCTAGAGTGCGGTAGCACACCCACGGCCACTGCAGCCTCGACCTGCTGGATTCAGGTGATGCTTCTGCCTCGGCCTTCCAAGTAGCTGGAACTACAGGCACGCAACACCACACCGGCTAATTTTCTGGTTTATTGTAGAGATAAGGTTTCGCCAAGCTGCTCAGGCTAGTCTTGAACCTGTGAGTTCAGGCAATCCTCTCACCTCGGCCTCCCAAAGTGCTGGAATTATAGGCGTAAGGCACCGCACCCAGCTATGATATGCTACAATCATATTCCCCACGGCCTTTTGTTAAAATTCAGGTTTTCACTTCCCCCACCAATTTCTATTTTTAATAATTTTTTACTGAGCTTTAAAATTCTTTTAGGAAGAATAACATTAATAATAGCTAACACTTACATAGTGCTTACTGTGTGCCAGGAATTGTTCTATACCCTTTACAAATAGTAGCTCATTTAACCCTCATGTCAACTAATGAGGTAAGAGCTATTAGTCCCATATTACAGCTCAGGAAACTCAGGCACAAAAAAGTTACTTACCTAAGAATATACACCCAGTAAGTAGCCAATTTCCTGAGTGTTGACACCATACTGCTCATTGTGAAAATGGCCCTTCCCACCTTCCTGCACCCAAATCACCTGTCTGCAGATACTGTTTAAGTCCTGCCTCCTTTCCTAGCAAAACACCAGAGCCAGTAGAGCCTCTCAACTCCCAAAGCATGTTCTGTCACCTCCACTCACCTGACTCTTCTCTTATTGTTGCCTGATATTGCTAGGTATGTCTTTATATTTTATATATATATGTCAACTAATGAGGTAAGAGCTATTAGTCCCATATATATATGTTATCCATCCCCAACTAGTTCTGAGGACCAAAAAAAAAGGGTCTAAAACTTCCTTACACCACCTTCTCCATGACACCAAGCACAATGCTATCACACAGTAGATGCTTAATAAATACATTTATTTAGTCTACATAAACTTATTGACTGGTTACAATATGACAGAAATTGTGTAAGCAATGGAAATTCATAAGTAAGAAGATACAGTTCCTGTTGTTGACAGATTACTACTTTCTGCATTGTGTACTTAAAAATGAAGACAACAGTTTTTCCTCAACTACATTCAATCTATGACCAAGATGTAGTGGAGGTATTTGCCTTTTGGCAAAACAAAAACAAAAACAAACCCAAAACAAAAAAACTGTTCTCAAAAATCTACTGCTGGGCTAAGAACAAATAGAGAAGGCTTATAAAGGGTGATTTCAGCTCAGAAGAGCTGATGTTAGTTGGGCATGGTGGCTCAAGCCTGTAATCCCAGCACTTTGGGAGGCCAGGGTGGGAAGATTGCTTGAGCGCAAAAGTTCAAGATCAGCCTAGGCAACACACCGTGAGACTTTGTTTCTATAAAAAAATTTTAAAAAGCCGGGCTCAGTGGCTCAGCCTGTAATCCCATGCCTTCGGGAGGCTGAGGTGAGTGGATTGCCTAAGCCTGCGGGTTTGAGACCTGCCTGGGCAACTTGGCAAGACCTCATTTCTATAATAGATCAAAAAATGAGCTGGGCGTAGTAGTGCGCGCCTGTAGTTCCAGCTACTTGGAAGGCTAAGGCGGAAGGATCGCCGAAGGCCAGCAGGTCGAGGCTGCGGCGGCCACTGCACTCCAGTCTGGGTGACAGAGTGAGACTCCAACTCAAAAAAAAAAAAAATCAAAAAAGTATCCAGGCTTGGTGGTGCACAACTGTAGTCCCAGTTCCTCAGGAGGCTAAGGCAGAAGGATCGCCTGAGTCCAGGAAGTCAAGGCTGTGGTAACCTGTGATCGTGCCACTGCGCTCCAGCCTGGGTGACAGAGTAAGACCACCAACTCAAAAAAACAAAAAACAAAAAAACTCAAATATCAGAACTCAGATGTCACTATCTCTGAATTCTTTAGAGAAACAGACCTGGACTGAAATCACTGAACTGGGAATCAATTACCTCTCATCAGACTCAAGTCCATCCACAAAGAACTCTGATGCTAACTTCTCCTGGAGGAACCGATCCCAGCATTCCTTCTTGGCTTGGGCTAGGGTTCGAAGCATGTCCTTGGAAGTCACTTCCTGATTTAAACCTTTGATTCTTCTCAGTTTCTTCTCTACAGAGTGAAGTGAAACTTAATAAGGAAAGTGTGTATGCCATAAAATTTTAATTAAATCTAAAACGCAAAATGTCAACTTAAAAATTCTCTCACTGATGAGTACATCCACACTCTCTGCAAAGGATGTCATTTTTTAAAAAGGACAGATAAAAGAGGATTGAATAGCCGGGCTCAGTGGCTCAGCCTATAATCCCGCGCTTTGGGAGGCTGGGGTGAGTGGATTGCCTGAGCCCGCAGGTTCGAGACCCGCCTGGGCAACTTGGCAAGACCTCATCTCTACAATAAATAAAAAAAAAAACCAGCCGGGCGTGGTAGTGCGTGCCTGTAATTCCAGCTACTCAGAAGGCTGAGGTGGAAAGATCGCCAGAGCCCAGCAGGTCGAGGCTACAGTGGCCGGGAGCGGTCACTGCACTCCAGTCTGGGCGACAGAGTGAGACTCCAATTCAAAAAAAAAAAGAGGATTGAACATTCTTCTTGTTCCTTCAGTGTCCTCACCCTTCATTGTATCAAATAAATGCTTAACCCGGAAAAGGGAAAAGCCATAGGTTCTCATGAATAAATCAATGGCATGTTTTCTTTGAAATCACATAAGCCCAGCAGGTATCTCTCTAAGGAATGCTTGTTTTCCTTGGCTTGACATGTGTATACTATCATCTTTTTTCAACTCCTTGAAAATAATCTCTCTGAGGAGTAAATGGTTTTTCATTTTGTAACACTGAAATGAAGTGGTTTCCAAACCTCACGAGAAAGAATTAAAGAAAATGATGAGAGATCCAATGGTTCATTAGACACTAAAATTGACTTGATGAGAACACAGTAAGAGATCTTAAGATCTCTATGTGTGATTAAGTTCTTGATTAAAGAAAAATAATCTCCCAACATTTTTTAAAGTTGCTCAACTTGAGGCCTGGATGTTGGAGTCTAATAAAAACAAACATCTTGTAATCCTTTGAGAGTGGTCCAAATGGCTTCTTGATGATAGATGTTTAATTACTTTTCTCTGCATTTTAAGTATAATTATTGAACAGATTTCCCCTTTTGAAGAATACAAGAAAGGACATCACCATTTACCTTCTGCCCTAATTTAGTCTTCAACTACATGAGTAAATGATGGCTTTGGATGGGGGGGTGGTGAGCATCAAGCTCAGAACCAATAGAAACTATAAACTATGATTTGCAATCTTGTTTCCATTTCTAAAAATATCATATCAGTTAACAATCACTGATTAAAATAAATACCTCAAGCCCTTTTGTTCCTGTAAGTTACCACTATGAACTCATTCATGCAAAAAACCTGCAGTTGATAAATGGGGTTTTGTTTTCTCCTTGAGGATGTAAAAACAGTTATGCATATCATATTTTTTTTAAGAAGCAGGGTCTCACTTTGTTGCTCAGGCTGGGGTGCAGTGGCGCAATCATAGATTACTGCAGCCTCGAGCTTCTGGGGTTAAGTGATCCTCCTGCCTCAACCTCCCAAGTAGCTGGGAGTACAGGCACATGCCACTGAACGTGGATAATTTTGTTTTGTTTTGTTTTGAGTCAGAGTCTCACTCTGTTGCCCAGGCCGGAGTGCAGTTGCATGCTCACAGTCATGACCTGCTGGGCCTCAACTTGCTGGGCTCAGGAGATCCTTCCACCTTAGCCTTCTAAGTAGCTGGAACTACAGGTATGCACCACCATGCCCAGCTAATTTATTTATTTATTGTAGAGATCAGGTCTCACCAAGTTGCCCAGGTTGGTCTCCAGCCTGTTGGCTCAGGCAATCCTCTCACCTTGGCCTCCCAAAGTGCTGGGATTATAGACTGAGCCACCATACCCAGCTGATAACACATGTTTAACTGGTTAAGTTTTTAGTTATTGCTCTTATCATGAATTATCTTTGACACAGGTTTATTTGGCAATAAAAACAATCTTCAGATTGTCTGGCCTTGGCTGTCAAGGTAGAAGTAACACTTCCTTCCTTCCTTCCTTCCTTCCTTCCTTCCTTCCCTCCTTCCCTCCTTCCTTCCCCTCCCTCTCCCCCTCCCTCCCTCCCTCCCTTCCTTCCTTCCTTCCTTCCTTCCTTCCTTCCTTCCTTCGAGACAGGGTCTCGTTCTGTCACCCAGGCTGGAATGCAGTGGCACAATCATAGTTCACTGCAAACTTGAACTCCTGCACTCAAGTGACCCTTGTACTTCAACCTCCAAATAGCTACAACTACAGGCACACCATTACATGTGGGTAATTTTTCAAAATTTTGTTGTTGAGATGGGTTCTTGTTATGTTGCCCAGGATGGTCTTGAACTTCTAGCCTCAAATGATTCTCCCACCTTGGTCTCCTAAAACACTGGGATTATAAGGGTCAGTCACTATGCTGGCCTTCATGAAAGTTTCTTTTTTGACTGGGCATGGTGGCTCAAGCCTGTAATCCCAGCACTCTGGGAGGCTGAGGCAAGAGGACTGCCTGAGACCATGGGTTCGAGACCCATGTTGCCTGGGCAACATGGTGAGATCTCATCTCCACAATAAATCAAAAAAATTGGACGGGCATAGTGGCTCGCACCTGTAGATACAGCTACTTGGAAGGATAAGGCAGAAGGATCGCCTGAGCCCAGTAGGTTGAAGATGTGGTGGCTGTGAGCATGCCACTGCATTCCAACCTAGGTAACAGAGTGAGACTCCGACTA